CATTTCCCCTTGTCCTGTCACTCCAGGCCCTTGTCCAAAGTCCTTCTCCAGGTCTCTTGGAGCCCCTTAGGTCCTGTAAGGACGAAACAGAGCCAACAGGTGCTCCTGGAGATCTGACTCCCACACTGACCTTCTGGAAAGCGTGGGCAAGCCCTTGGATTTGCTTTCTCAGTGGGGATGCTCAGTCCTTCAGGACGGGATCCAGAAGGTGCAGTGGGGGTGCAAAGCAGCCCTTTGCCTTCCTTTGATCTCTCCTGCTCCCAGAGAGGGGCTGGGGGCTGTCCTGCCCTTGGCAGGGCTGTTGGCTGTGTGGATGTTGGGTCTCTGAGCTGCAGACCACGGTGTAACACTGAGTGTGAGGTAAGACCAGCCTGTGGGGTCCAACCTCACTGTCAGAGCATACCCTGACTGGACTGATGAGCCAAATCAAGGTTTGTCATCCCCTGCCTGCTGGGCTGCAGATGGGCACAGCGAGGATCCCACCCAGAATGCCCAGAAAAGCTGCCTCCTTCCTTCATGCAAACCCCCCCCCTCTGGAGGAAATGCACGTGCCACCGGGAAGACAGCAAAGATGGGATTGGTGAAACAATCTCCTTATGTTCTTTGCAGCTTAAATCTCTGTCTGGTTTGCCCAGGATAATGAATTTGTGAGCCTCTCCCTGCCAGGGTCGATGTTTTCCAAGTATTACCAGCAGAATTGCCATCTGCTCCCTCCAGCCAGGCAGGAGCCTCCAAGAAACAGCATTTGCTTGGTGAAGACACAAGGAAAAGCTTTTTTTTTTTCCCAAAAAGGTGGTAAAAAACCAGGAGAGAGAGGCTGTGGAGCCTCCAGCCTTGGAAACACTCAAAATCCAAGGAGAAGCAGCCCAGAGCAGCCTGGCTGAGGTGCACCCAAAGCTGTGGCTGCAGCTCTGTCCCAGCCCACACCTTTAGCCCTTCCATAACTCTGTGATCCCTCAGGGATCCAGCACAATCCACCTGGAGAACCAGAGCATGAAACAGCAGTTTGGTTGCATCATCTTCACAGCAGGAAAACCAAGAGTGGAAATCCATGTTCCCTTCACCAGAACCAAACTGTTTTCAAGGAAAGGAGAGGGATCTTTGGTTGGGATCTAGTGGGGCTTCCTGGCTTTACAGCTTGCAAGAGAAACTGGACACAGACAGGAACAGAGAGACTTCATTAATCACTGTGATTAGTAAAATTAAAGGTTTGAGAAATAAGACATAAACACCTCCCACGCCTTTGAAGGCCTGGTCTAAACCCAGAGGGGCCAGTGAAGCTGAAAAGTTTTCCAAATGGCCTCAAGCACCCTGTGCTCCTCCTCCTGCATGAGGGATGTCCACTCCCTGGGAGCTCCCTGTTACCCCAGTAATGAAGAGTATGTCGATGGAGAGAGCTGGAAGTGAAATCTGGAAGTTCCTCAGGCCTTGGACTCGTGCAAGAGGCTGTGCTGGGCTGAGGGGCAGCCTCAGGAGACCTTGAAGGGCTTGTGGTATCCACCAGATTGCCAGGAAAACCTGGCACATCTCCATGGTTTTTGAACTCTTCCAGGGATGGTGAGTCCACACTGCCCTGGGCAGGATGTTCTAGGGCTGGACAACCTCTTCCATAAAGAAATTTTCCCTGACATCCAATTTAACCTCCCCTGGTGCACCTTGAGGCCATTTCCTCCTGTTATCTGGGAGGAGAGATTGACCTCCCACTTGGCTCCAACCTCCTCCCAGGTGGTTGTAGGGAGCCTGGCTCTTCCATGGCTCAGCTGCTGAGGAGATTTGGGAAGCTCCATACATTCTATTTGGGGTCATTTCTACCAAACACCGTTATTTTTTCCCCCTTCAGGTGCCAAATGAGGCAACAGCCAGAACCTGGCTGCTAATTACAGCCTATAAAAAGGATTTTTGTGTGCACTCACAGCAGTTCACTACGACCTTAAAATAGGACATTTATTTCAAGAGCTTTTCTTCCCTGTAAGGTGACATTAACTATAATTTACATTTTAATACAGCTCCTAGAAGGCAATAACACCAGCACTCATTCCCACTCAAATGTCTCCCTCGCCTTCCTCCTCTTTTTAGTGCTTGGGTAGATAACAGGCTTTCAAGGCACTCAGCATTCCCAGTGCCTGGGATGAGTCCTGCTGGGAATGTCACAGGGAGGACAGGGAGTGTCCTCACCCTGGGCACACCATGGGTAGGGACAGGGCCTGCAGGGCCATGGGGGTGAGGGGTGGTGTTACAGGTGCTGCTGTGGAAAAATCCCAGCTGGAAAACCCATTAGGACAGACCCTGAATCCCACAGCCACACATCCTGTAAGCAGAGCTTTTCCAGGTGGATGTTTCCATGGTGACTTGCTGCTGGGAGAGGAGGCTCAGGCTGGAACTGGGAAAGGCAGAGCTGCTGCGTTGCCACCACCAGTGACCTAATCCAACAGGGGACACCGAGTTCCCTTGGAAAACCCTGACTGTAACCCCTAAAGAAGGGTCATGGGCCAGCATTTCATCTCTGGAGATCCAGTGCTATGGACAGGAGCCCCTGGTGAGTGTTTCCCAGGTATTTAGCTCTCTTGGGAAATGTGACAACTCCTGTTGGCCCACACGGGCTCTGCAGCCAAAGCAATGGGATGAAATCATGGAGCAAAGGCATCCTGTGGCCTGAAGGCCAGAAAAAGACTGGAATGGTCCACCACGCTGCTGAGAGCTTAAGGAGGTGCCCACAGAGCTCAGTCCTTGTGTGCTGTGGGCTGAGGAGAGATGTTTTCCTGGGACAACAGCACAGGGAAGCCTTTGTGTCCCCTGCACAAACCTGCCCAAGCTGTAAAGGCATCATCCCTTGGGGAAAAGCACACTGCTCCTTTGAAAACCAGGGCCAGCAATGAGGAGGACAGACAAGGAGCTGTGTCCCAGAGTGGAGCAGGCACCTGGCCCCAAAGCTCCTCCAGATGCCACTTTTTAAAGCCCTGGTTCTCAATCCCGAATCCAAGTGTAGCAGCGGGTTGGAGACAGGCAGGGAAATGTCCCTTCCAAGTTCGTGTCCTCACAGACCTCTCTGGAGTAATTAGTGCTGGCCCACAGGCAAGCCTGGACTGGTGCCTGGCTCCATGGAATATGTGTCAGGACAAAGTAGGTCAGTCCCAAAGCCAAGCCGACCCCAACTCCGGGCGCCGCAGGAACGGGAACTTGGGCTCAGTGGGGAGAGGCACCAGTGGCCCTGTGCCAGTGGGCAGGCTCTGACCCCCCCTGGGCCTCTCCTCCTCCCTCACACAGTGCCACACCATGCCAGGATGGCCAAGGTCCCACTGGGAAGGAGCAGCAGCCCATGGAGACGCCGGCTGCAGCCAGGACACTGCGGCTCCACGCCGGCTGCTGGAGCAGCTCCTTTGGATCTGAAGGGGCTTCGGGGTGGCACAGCCAAGTCTCACTGGTCACTCCATCTGCTCATCTCCTCAGCTGACGTGCTCTGGGGACAGGGCAGTGGCAAATGGACACACAGGCCAGGCTCAGATGCTCTGGGCTGGTCTCCTATGGGAAGGGGTGAAGCTCTCAGCGTAAATCAGTGACCAAAATTGCCCTGTGCTGATGTGAACACGACCTAGGACAAGCCCCAGGGTCCTGCAGGAGGACCCACCATGGATTATAATTCCACATAATGCAGGAAGAGACGGCACCGAGCACCATATGCTGCTGCAGGTGGGGCAGGTGGAGGTGGGGAGGTGGCCCCTCTGCTGCAGGGTTAAGCCTGCTCACAGTCCTCCCTGACACATACTGGAAGCATTCCTGCTCCATCTGCAATGCTTATGGAATCAAAGAATACCCTGAGTTGGAAGGGACCCACAAGGATCATCCAGTCCAACCCCTGGCCCTGCCCAGGACACCCCAACAATCCCACCCTGCCCCTGGGAGCATTGTCCAAACCCTCCTGGAGCTCTGGCAGCCTTGGTGCTGTGCCCACTGCCCTGGGGAGCCTGGGCAGTGCCTGACAACCCTCTGAGTGAAAAACCTTTTCCTGAGATCCAACCTAAACCTCCCCTGACTCAGCTTCATGTTGTTTCCTTTAATCACGAGAACTTCCAGTGCTCCAGAGCCTCTGAGCAAGAGCTGGGGGCTTTGTTATCCCCCTCAGCCTCGGGCAGCTGGGGGGGATGTCCCGTTGGGAAGCAGCTGCTCCAGGCACAATGCTGCTCCCCTTTCATGTCTCCCTGGATCCCCTGACCCTTGGAGTGAGGCCAGCCCAGCCTGTGTCCAGCTGGAGCTGCAGGTGCTGCCTTTGTCCAGGAGGTTCCTTGGAGGGGGCAAAGGGGATTGTGGTGATGACCTGGGCAGCCCCTTCCCCAGAGGGAAACACAAAGGTACCCACACAACTAAGACTCTCCTGCACCCCCTATCCCATCTGCAGCCTGTGAGAGCAGGCAACACCCTCTCCATCCCTGTCCCCAGGCCAGAGGGGAAGGATGTGTGTTTACCAGGGATGTGTGTCCCAGCCTGATGATTCTGGAGCCACAGGAGGCCAATTTCAGTGTGCAATCTCACCTGGCACCAGGTGGGTCAGGGCTACAAGACTCCCCCCTCCCCTACAAGCCTAAAAGCACAGCAGCACCAGTGTGTTTATCACTCACCCCCTCCCATCCCTGCAAGGACTAAAAGGGAAAATCAAATCATTTAAGGTTAAAAATCTGCCCAACAATCCATGGGCTGCAGAGCAGAGGAAGCAGCTTCGGGATTTTAAACACCAGCTGCTGGGGTGCTACTGGTAACTTAGGAAAAAAATCCTTCCCTGTGAGGGTGGTGAGGCCCTGGCACAGGTTGCCCAGAGAAGCTGTGGCTGCCCCTGGATCCCTGGAAGTGTTCCAGGTCAGGCTGGATGGGGCTTGGAGCAACCTGGGCTAGTGGAAGGTGTCCCTGCCCATGGCAAGGGGGGTGGAAAAAGATGATCTTTAAGGTTCTCTCCAACCCAAACCACTCCCTGATTCTAACTGGATGGAGGCTCATGTACCACATCTGTCAGAGCACACAGAGCCCTTCCTGCCCTTCCTGCAGCACGTGGGGAGCTCCAAGAGCTCCATCCTTCACAAAAGGAGGCTCAAGGGCTGATCTAAAGGCCCAGTCTGACATCCAGGGGCTGTTCCTTCTTTTAAGGACCAGGCCTGGCTGATGACAAATCCCAGCCGACAAGGAGGGTGGGTGGGGGTGGGATGGAGTGGGAGCAAGCAGTGGGATGCAGATCCCTTCCTTCCTCCGGCCAAAAAGTGAAAGGCCCCCGCGGGTTGTGCTGAGCAGGGAAATTGCTTTGTGCTGCCTGGCTTTGTGAGAGTTTAATTAACCATGCCCTGAAGGGGATGAGGGAAAGGGAGCCCACCAGGCAGTGGGGGTCCCCTCTGTGCCATGGCTGCTTGGGGTTGTGCTTTGTTGGTGGGCACTGAGCACTGACGGTGGGCTCAGTCCCACAAAGCTCCTTTTGTCCATCTCCCCGTGGAAGTGCCCTTGTGCTGCCCATCATTGGCAGGCATGTAGGGGTGGTGGTCTTCTCCCTCATTTTAGGCAGGTCCAGGAATCCCTCTGGGAGCCTCCTGGGTGGCCAAAAGCAAGGCTGGGGGTGTGTGTGCAAGTGGAGCCAGAGAAGAGACACAGAAATTTCTACACAGAACACTGAAATGACCTCAGAGGAGGGATCCTGGAATCACAAATGTTGGTCCAGCTGAAACCTCATCACTGATGACCAGGGTGCAACTACCTTGTCCAACATACTGGGCATGGCTACACCTCTTCCACTGCCCCCAGGTGAGATTGGGCCCTTTGCTTCCCTTCTCAGCCCCAAATCAGCTGGGAAGACATGGTGTGGTGACTGCAGGAATGACACAAACCACGGGCCCATTTTCACAGCTCAGGCTGAGAGTTGCATCTCTGCTCCCCCAAAACCATCAATCTCACTGCAGTCACCACCCTGAGGCCACGAGGTGCTCACCAAGCACATAAAACAGAGTAAATCCTGCTCCTGCCTGGTGACAAAAGTGGCATCTCACGACACCAAGTGCCCCAGAACTTCAGCTGAAGCCAGCAGAAGTTACAGACACTCAGCATCCTGCAGGATCATTCTAGGAGCTTGGAAGCAACACGGGACATGAACAAGGTCATTTTCCAGCCTGTGGATGCTGTACATATGGCTCTGCTGACCTAATGACTAGTAACTGGCCCAGTGATGGAACAATTCAGTGGGAACTACCTGGAGGAAGCAGCACTTTGCTGAGGGACACGCTGGGAGTGGGCTGGGCATCTGCAGCAAGACAGAATCCAGCTCATGTGAAAAGAAGAGTGGTTTCCCAGTGACCTCCCCACTCCTCCCCAACAAACAGCATCCTAGTCCTCGTTCCCATCTGCTGCCAGCCCTGCAAGAAGCTCTCTGACCACCTGAGCTCACCTTCAGCTTGTGCTCGTGCTCCTTGTTGACCCGGGACAGCAGCTGGGCTTTCCTTCTGTTGAGGGCGTCGATGAGGGCGTCACACTGGGCCACCAGGCAGGCCTCGAACTCCACACTGTTCTCCTGCAGGGCAGAGGGAGAGTCACAGCCCGGGAACGCCCCCAGTTCAGCTGGGAAACCGGATTGTCCTTGTTAATGATGCCACACGGACCATTTTTGCACGTGCAGCTACACCACTGCAACCCAGCAATCCACAGCCTTGGCACGTGGGGTGCTTATGCCCTTGGGTCATGGAAAATGTGCTGGTGGCAGGTGAGGAACAGGTTTGGTCCATCCTGCCACATCCTTGGATCTACCTATGGCAGATATGGGAAGGGCTGGGCTCTCTGATGCTCCTCTCAAGACCAGCAGCTTTGGGAAGACAGTTTTGGGGATGGCTCAGGGGGGTCATATGAAAAGTCAAGTGTGGGGCCCTTTGGGAGAACACCCACCAAACCAAGCTAGGGGATGGGACAGAAGATGGCAGAGAGCAGCTCATCCTGGTGGGAAGGGGCCATTCCTCAGCCAGGAGACACCGTACCTGGATTTGCTGCACCATGTTCCGGAGCTGGACCAGGAACTCTTTTGCTTCCTTGGCTCTGTCTGACAAACCATTCAAGGCCTGGGAAAGCTGGCTCTGCAGGGGGAAGAAAAAGCAAGGTCATTTCCATGTCCAGGACTCATCCATCACCCTGGATGAGTGGGAGGTTTGGGCTGGGAATGGGCTGCAGCCCAGCACTGCCTTCAGCATCCCACTGAGGTGTCCATCTGCCTCTGCTGCCCCGAGTGTAAGGACAGGAAAAGGAGGGTTAGCCATCATCATGGATACCCTGGCTTTGGGAAGCAGATATTCAGTGTCCACCTCTTCCATAGGCTTCCCCGGGTGATCAGGAACAAGCCACATCCATCCATCCTGGGTCTCAAAGTGAGCCAGCCACTCCCTCCCCTGGATCTGTGCTCTCCAGGGAGCCAGACACCAAAAAATCCTGTAGGATCTGCCCCATGTCTGCTGAGGATGATCAGCAGAAGGGCACAGGCCAGACCACCCAAATCAGACTGAAAATCTCCCAGAAGTGAAGGTAAAGCAGGGTCCTCCACTGTCAAGCAAAATCCTGAGTGCTCCTTCTTCCTCTGGATACAGGGGTGGGAGTGCACCCACCCAGCCTGGGCTGAGCAGCAGAGCATGGTAATAATAATCATCATCATGTTAATCAAATGCCTTTTCATTTTCGTGGCATTTTCTGAACATTAACTCAGGAATCTTCCCCCTTTGCCAGCAGGGGTTATTATCTCAAGAGCCCGGCAAATCACCCGCCACAATTCACCTCTGGGAGAGATTTTGCCTCTTTTATGGGCTGCAAATTGCCTGCAAACACCCCGTGGAGTTTGAGGGGTGAGCTTTCTTTGTGGTAGACACAGAAGGGAGCACAGAAGGTGCCTGATGTCCCTAAATCCCTAAAAAAACCCTAATGGACCGTCCCTCTTGTGATCGGGATGTTGGCACGGGGCTGGCATGGGCTGGCACCTGTATGGTGGTGCTGTTGGTGGTGCTGTGCTTCCCTGGATGGCAGAGTGGGAGAGGGAGGAGGTGGGATGGGAGAGAAGGACTGTGGTGTCTGCTGAGGTGGTGCTGGGCTGAAATCAAGGACAAAAAGCAGAATTGCTATTGAAGAGAGGCTGTAGCAAACGAATGGCGACCATTTAATGGCCCAGAAAATGACCTCACTGCTGCTTCCCCAGGAGATGTTAATCCAACCCAAGTGACTCCTGCATTTCCTTTGTAATTTATCGTGCCCGAGTCGTTAGGATGTGGAGCTAATCAGTGAATGCATCTCTAATAAAAATGGGATTGCTAAGCCAGCTCAGCAGGTCTCCCCATCCCTCCTCCCTCCTCCTCCAGCTGGAGGAGAGCCGAGGTCAGAGCCTGAATCCACAGGGATAACTCAGCCCTGCCCCTGCAAAACCCCCATCACCCTCCACAGCCCGTGCACGGCTCCAGCCCTCCTGGATTTAGGGAGATGCCTTAAGCCCAGCTCAGCAAAGGTGTTTTGCTGAGAGCTGCAGGGCCCTGGTCTCCAATAACACACACAATTAATGGAAAAAAATCAGCAGGGGTCGGTTATGTTTACAAGCTCCTCATTAAAACTGCAGCATGTTGAGGTTTGGTTTTTTTTTTCCCTTTTAAGTCTTTAGAAGGCTTTTTTTTTTTATCCATTAACATACATTTCAGAAAGGAGATCTTTATATCAACATAATTCTTTGAGGCTTTCCTGATGGGAAAGCTTTTTAAATGTGGTCTTAAAACTTAATAAGAGCTCTGGGATGTCAGTGGGCATTGCCCATGGGCAGCTCCTTCATCCTGGGCACACCCAGCTCAGAGCACAATGCACATGGCACAGCTGGAAGGGACCCACCAGGATCATCCAGTCCAACCCTTGGCCCTGTTCAGGACACCCCAACAATCCCACCCTGTCACTGAGAGCATTGTCCAAACACTCCTGGAGCTCTGGCAGCCCTGGGGAGCCTGTTCAGTGCCCAGCCACCCCCTGGGGGAAGAACCTTTTCCTAATTTCCAGTTAGATGATCCAGTGGACTTCCCCCTCTGATGCCTACCAGTGCTTCCAGGAGCAGGCACTGCATCACTGCCCCTGGACCATGTGCCACACAACTGGGATCTGGCAAACCTTCTCAGGATGAATTTTGCCTCCATCTAATCTGACCTATTTGTGATGTGCACTGGCCAGTTCCTGTGGATGGGTGGCCACAGGCTCCCCAGTGGAGCTCTACAGAGTGGCTTTTCATCAGCACGTTGTCCAGGACGGGTTCCCATCATTCCAAGCCTCTCCCGGAGCAGAGACACGTTCCTGGACACATCCCCTTTGAAACAAACACCTGCCCAGCCCTCCTGCTGCATCCCTGCTGCTCGTGGCAGGAGTCACCCTGCTGGGGACAGGGAGGGGGGGGCTGTGAGCCCATCATTAGCCCATTAACCAGGGCTAATTAATGCCATGTGCCAACAGAGCACGTATGGGAATGTGCATGGATTCATGGATTCATTCAGGGCAGTGACAATGTGATTAATAACCACCGTGTGCCACAGGAAGACAAAGTCCTTCTGGCTGCTGTTATCATGTTAATAAAGTCAGAGGCTCTGGGGAGGAATTAATTCCACAGGTACCTTCCGTGACCCCTGGAGTAAACCCAGGCTTTAGTGCTGTCACCCCAGAGAAGGATTTAATCACCAGATTCACATGGAATCACAGGTTTCCCCCAAGTGTGTGACCTACATGGAAGGAGCAGGAAGGGGAGACTCAAGAGGAGTCACAGAATCCCAGAATGGTTTGGGTTGGAAGGGACAGTAAAGCCCATCTCATTCCAACCCCTGCCATGGGCAGGGACATCTTCCACTAGACCAGGTGGCTCCAACCTGGCCTTGGACACTTCCAGGGATCCAGGGGCAGCCACAGCTTCTCGGCCCTGTGCGCAAGGGGCCTCACCACCCTCCCAGCTAACAATTCCTTCCAATATCCCATCTAACCCTGCCCTCTGTCAGTCTGAAGCCATTCCTCCTTGTCCTGTCTCTCCAACCCTTGTCCAAAGTCCCTCTCCAGCTCTCTGGGAGCCCCTTTAGACACTGGAGCCCTCCACATGGGACCAGGGGGTCTGAAGGACCTCAGGCCTTCTCTCCTCCTTTGCCAGATCACGGGAAAGAAGAGCTGCTGATATTTCTGGCACATGCTGGAAGGATTTCCCCTCCCTGCAAAAAGCCAGATCGTTGCACTTTGCAATCTCCACGTGAAAGCAAAAAGCTTTGGGGCTTTCTGGGGTCAGGAACCCCGCTCTGGGGACACTGCCCTGGGGATCATCCAGCATGCAGTGGGCCAGGCAGCTCCCGTGCACTGAGTCCAACCCTCAGCAAGCGAAGGCAGGGGAATTAATGAGTGTGAAATGAAGAAAAATCCCATTTAGCAGCGCCTTAAAATCAAGGGAATTTGTTCTTTGCGGAAAGCTGGCCCCTTTTTCAATGCTCTTGTTCCAAGGCTGCAAGAAGAGACCTCTGTGATTCACATTAGCATTAATGGGAGCTAAGCATTTAAATCTCTGTCCCCAGAGCACTTAGGAGAGAATCTGTCCCCTCTTTGTGCTCGCTAATAGCTCCATAACCCTCCTCCTTCCCAGGCACGGCTGACAAAGGGATTTCTGTCACTCTCTGATTCTCCCTTGTCCCAGTGCATGGATGAGCACGGTCGGTGCAGAAGGCTGAGGGCTCTGCAGGGCTGAGCACGCTCCAAGAAACAGAGAAAAGCATCGTTTTAACTCTGCACGGTCGGGTCTGGTCCAGTTCTCCTCCTGTATAACCCAGCTGCCAGCCACGGAGCTCCTCCAGGTTCACCTTGAGGAGAGGAGGGAGGTGGGTTTGTTATTTTAGGACGTGCTGGGTCCTGCTCAGCACCGGGTGTTGGATTGGTGGAGCTGGCTCCGTGTGACATCTGGAACACTGAGAAAAGCCTCAGGTTCTCCAGTGTTGGCCACTACCAAGGGTGAAGAACAGTTGGTATTGTTTCAAACCCCAGCTTGCTTGCAGGCTCTGGTTTAGGTTGGAAAAGCCCTCCAAGATCATGGAGTCCAACCATTCCCCCAGCACTGCCAAGGCCACCCCTGACCCACATCCCTAAGTGCCACATCCACATGGCTTTTAAATCCCTCCAGGGATGGGGACTCTACCACTGCCCTGGGCAGCTGTGCCAGGGCTGGACAACCCTTTCCATGAAGAATTTTCCCCAAAATCCAACCCAAATCTCCCCTGGTGTAACTTGAGGCCGTTCCCTCTCCTCCTGTCCCTTGTTCCCTGGGAGCAGAGCCCGACCCCCCTTCCTGGCTCCCCCCTCCTGTCAGGGAGTTGCAGAGCCAGAAGGTCCCCCCTGAGCCTCCTTTTCTCCAGGCTGAGCCCCCCCAGCTCCCTCAGCTGCTCCTGCTGCTCCAGACCCTTCCTGAGCCCTGTTCCCTTCTCTGGACATGCTCCAGCCCCTCAGTGTCCTTGTGAGGGGCCCAGAACTGCCCCCAGGAATGGAGGTGCCCCAGCAGTGCCAGCACAGGGGGACAATCAATTCCCTGGTCCTGCTGAACACAGTACTGCTGATCCAAGCAGGATGCCCTTGGCCTTCTTGCCCACCTGGGCACACCCTGGGCTCATGTTCAGCCAGCTCTCAGTGAACACCAAACTCACCAAAACCAATCCCAAAAGAGCTCTTGGCATTACACCTGCTCTGACATCCCAAGTGTTGCAACCAGCCCCTGTTTCTTCTTTCCTTCCAGCCAAATCATCTCCCAGCCAGTTCCTCCACTGGAGGCAAAACAGGAATAAGCCATGGTAAGAGAAGGTGCTGTTCCCAGCTGTTCTGCTCGTGCCCTCGAAAGGATGAGGAGCTGTCACAGATGCTGGAGTTGAACTCATGTGCTTCTTTCTTTTAATTAAAGCACGGGACCTGCAGCCTTTGAATCTTGAGGCCAGTTCAGTGTACTTGATGCCTGACTAATTAGAATGGGATGTTTAATTAAAACTTGCATTCAGTCAGGAAGCTGATGAAGCTAAACTGCTGCTAATTGGCTTTTGGCTCCAGTCACGAGGGCCCGACTTTTGGATCTAATGCTGCCTATGGAAAGAAACCAGGAGCTGCAGCCTGGGCTAAACCTGCCCCTCAAGACTCGAGGAGTCACAGTGCTGTGTCCTGGGATCCTGAAGGGGCTGGTCCTTGAACACTTCCATGGATGGGGCAGCCACAGCTTCTCTGGGCAACCTGTGCTGGGGCCTCACCACCCTCACAGCCAACAATTCCTTTCCAGTATCCCATCTAACCCTCTTGTCAGTGG